TTGAGGACCCTAGCAATAGTTTACTTACACTTACTTTCTACAGGAGCTACATATTGCAAAGGTGCTTGCCCCACCTTTTTTTGCTTGGTTTTAATTTAAGCACACCATATCCTTTTTGTCAATCACCTAGAATGTCCTACTGATTAAAAATAAGGATTGTCTTTCTCTCTGGCAGACAGTCTTCAAAACAGAAGAAAGCTATTCAGACTGCTATCCGTAAGAACAAAGAAGCCAATGCGGTACTAGTCCGATTAAACAGTGAACTCCAGCAACAACTGAAGGTAAGGAATGCCTGTGCCTCTCTTGTGGATCTTTCTGCACTGGTACACAAAGAAAATATAAGAATTAGTATAAAATATACTAATATATGCCATTCTTGAAATAGAAGAATGGGTGGATGAGAATTGGATTGAAAAGGGATCTTCCATAAATTGAATAAGCTTAAATATATTTATGGAAGTGATAAATATAAATGAGTTCCCCTTGCCATCTTTTACACTGACAGAACAAGAAGCTACCCCCACCATTCGCACCCCTATATGAATAAATGTTTGCCTGTATTAACATTAGCATTTAAAAAGACAGTTACAGGTAGTCCTCGCTTAATGACCATTTGTTTAACGATGGTTTGAAGTTACAATGGACTTGAAAAAAGTGCTTTATGACCTGTACTCACACAACCATTGCAGCACCCCCTGCAGTCATGTGATTGCAATTTGCGACCCTTTTTTACAATGGTCGTTAAGCGAATCACTGCAGTCGCTGAGCAAATCACCGTGGTTATTAAGCAAATCACATGGTTGTTAAGAGAATTCCAGCAAAAAAAATCTATTGGGGAAGCTGGATTCGCTTAACAACCATGTGATTCGCTTAACAACTGTCATAGAAATAGTCATAAAATTGTCAGTCATGTGGTGACTTGCTTAATGACTGCCCTGCTTAACAACCAATTTTCTGATCCCTACTGTGGTTGTTAAGCGAGGACTACCTGTAAGACTTTTCTGTCATGTGATGAGGAAATGCCCTTTTTGGCAGCTACAATCACATTATTCAAAATGTATTTGAAGTGGAAAGTAAGACATATCTTCCTTGTAGTTAACTAAACTTTTTGAAGTAAAAGGTACCGTGCTACAATGATATTGTGGGTGTTTAATATATTTGGTATATATATGATATATAGTATTTATTATAGTATATCAGAATTCTTTTTGTTAACTACAAATAAGATAGCAAAAGAACTCCCCTAAATTAGCAAATAAAAATTGTGAGACTACTGTTTTCTGAAATATAATTTATTTGACATCTACATTTGGGGAAAACAATATTTGGGATGTTATGGACATTAATTTTCCTTTCAGTGGTATGTCTCACAAAGTGATTGATTTGGGTGACTGACTGCTTTCGTACTTACTGATCAAGATGAGTTAATTCAGTGATGGTCCCTGAAACTCTTTTTATCAGTGGTTTCATTCAGCTAAGCAGTATTACAGCAGAGTTCAAAATAGTGCTAGATAGATCAAAAGAAGTCCATCCTTTTGCTTACAGGAATTCAAAGCGTATTTTGAAAAAAAAAATATTGTAGTTTAATATGCTATATTGTTAACTTCTTGAGGAATCAAAATGTAAACTAAACTAAAAAATCAGGGCAATGATGGTGGAACATTCAAATAACCCTAATAGACCAAGTTATCCAACATTTGAGTTTCAGTTTGTTTTGTATTGCTGTAGTTTATTGAAAGGACAGATAGTGAAACTCAAAAATTGTAAAAGCAGAGTCCATAAGTCTGCATTTTAAAACAATACGGTTTTTATCTATGCATGTTTCCACCAAGCTGCACTCTAATTATTTTATATCATTTGCACTGTCTAGGAAGTTCACAAGGAACGAATTGCACTGGAAACTCAGTTGGAGCAACACCGACCTGTAACTGTCTTGTGACATTTTTTTACACACAGTTTGTTCTATGAAACATGACACTTTGTATAATATGTTGGCATAATTTTTTTTCTAATAAGGCAGCTTCATCTGGAAAAAATAGTTGCCAGATTTTTCTGCATTTCTGGTATCACAGTTACCTTACTGGTAAGAAGATGCACACCATCCTAATGTCAACCATTATACCTAGACCATTTCCCCACTGATCCACCAGCAAGATCTTATTCAAATTCCACCCTTTATGTACTCCAAGAATTGTTGCTTTATTTCCAAAGGGCAGGGAGGGGGCATTTAAAGTGTGTGTGTGTGTGTGTGTGTGTGTGTGTGTGTGTGTGTCCAAGAAATTAGTTTAACTTCATGTCATTTTATCTTTTTTTGGCTATTATTTTCATATGTTTTCCATGAGCATTTACAGAACATTGCAATATCTTCCTGGTTTCCCCCCCCAAAGTTTTATGATTACCAATCACCTTTAGTAGGAAGCACAAATCTTGTTGTATTAATACAATACATCTACATTCCTCTCTCTACCACTTACCACTGCATATTAATTTCTTGTCTATTTCTTGAAGCTGACATGCTGCCACTGTTGTTGTCATAATTCTGCTGCAGTCTTGAAAGCAAAAATGTACAATGGCCTGCAGCCACAGTTTAATCTAGTTCATGGCATCTTTGATGGATGGCATATTATCCCAGACCATGAGGTGGCCTAGACCATAGGACTACCTGTAAGCTGTTCCTACAATTCATGTGGTTTTCATACTGCTGCAGCTGCTGCTTGAAGGCCACATACCTTGAAGTGGCCAAGTGCAAGAAATGTGTCCTAGTAGGCCATTTATTCACAACTGTGTGCTATGAAACTGCTAGGCATTCTTGTACATTGCTCGTTACGTTACTCCAATAGAGTTGGTAGTAGTTCATTACACCAGTTCCAATTATACATTTTTGCATTTTTCTACTTAAATTTAATCAAATCATTTACAAAAAAAGCAACACTGAAATATTTGTTCTGTTGCTTACAACAAATATTAACATATTAGCACCAGGCCATGTATCTCATTTAAAATAGAGTAGCTTTGTATATAGAATTGTTCCCGATTAACTGTTGAAGTTATCATCGGAGTCCACTAGTCATTTCTTATCCATTTGGGATTCATGTCTCACTTTATTAATATGTTGGTTCTGTTGTTATCTATCAATTGCATTTAGCCTGGAGAATCCCAAAAAATCCCCTTGTACCCAATAAGAAACATGCTACATCTGAGAATGCAGCACATTGTCTGGCTTGCCTTGAAATATATAGTACTCCTTGACTTGCATACTGAGATTAGCATGACCACAGGGAAAGTGATCCTTTAGGGAAAGGGGCAGCCAGGAAAGCTTTTTATCATTTCAATTTTCATTTTTCTTGCAGATCATTGCGCATTATTGAAAACGTGCTCATGATTTAGATTACTTGTAAAGGAGATTAATCAATTCACAGGAATAGATATAGAACTAATATTGATCATGCTACCTCATTAGAACTCTAACGTTCAGGGCAGTGGGCCACAGTAGATCAGCTCCTGGGTTGAGAAGGACAACAGGATAAGGTTGTCTTTGCTCACAAAAGGAAGCTAGCTGGCTACACTTAAAACTGCATATGGGATTATATGGTCGGTGGATCTGAAACAGCAGGGTTCATTTTATAGCCCATATTATTCATTTTTAAAGTCCAAGTCTTATTAACTTGTAAAGCCAGCATAGAGTCCAGCATCACAAAATACTGCCTATTTCCATTAAAACAACCAGGATATGCTTTCTCTTGTTTTCATAAAATGAACATCTTTGTGTTCTTGGCCCTAATCACATTTGTAACACATGCTTTTATTTTAGCACTGCATCACAAGACAAGAAAGACGCCTGTATAAAATGCCATGCTGCCAAGGGGTGGTGACAGAACTGTACTGTGTAGACCCACGTCTGGCTTAATATGAAGCTGTTCCTATGAACGCAAAGTACACTTGGTTTAAAATTAAGTTGACACTTAAAAACTCAGGCTAAGTTAACAGATCCTCCAGCTGAGTCTTAGGTTGCAGAACTTGTTCATCATTTTTATAATTAATTAATATACTCATACTAACCATGCAAAGAACTTTCCTAGGAATGTAGTATATAAATCTTGAACAATGAGTAATTTTATGTAGACTTTTACAGAGGACCACAATACGAATCTTATCCATTTAAATATACTTCAAGTGGACATGAAACAATGTCTTGATTGGTATTTATACAATGTCTGAAATAGGAATCTGGAAGTGTTATGTATGATTTAGAGCTGTTTAAAATAATCATTTCAAGGAACGTTTTCAACTTTTATCTAAACCTTATGTGTGCAAAAAATAATTAACTAGACAAAGTATATATGTTCTCTTTTCTGAAGATAAGAATAATCATTGCCTATAACAAAATAAATTTAGAACAATTGGTAGTAATATCCCTTTAAGTATTGGTAGTTATATATTGCCATTATTTACTCAGATGTATGCTCCATGGGAGTGTGGTTTAGAGCGCCTCATTTCTCCACCAATTCTCAACTGCTCCTTGACAGTGTTGCAACAGGAAACGTTCCCATCATTGCTGCACCAACAGAAGTGGAGAGGAGGAATAGACCATTATTAAAAAAGGTCACGTACATACAAGAGTCAAAAACCATGTCACCGCCTTCCTGTAAGGTGCCTAAAGCAAGGGTCAGGAATAATGCCAGTTCTGAAGCTGACATAGTTAAATTTCTTCTTGAATAAGCTGCTATATAAATACTTAAGCTGATTATATATTAGAAAATTTTCATTAGTGGTCTCATTTGAAGTAAAAAAAAAACTAGGCTCCAATAACTTTACATTATGAGCATGATTAACCTTGTGGTTTTGGAACATTAACTGTAGTGTTCTATTATGTGTGTTTTTAAAAATAATGTTTAGAGTCCCTACTACAGAGGTACGCAACTTGTGTCAGCTTTATTTGTTGTGTCAAGGGCCACATTCCGAAAGTGGGTAGGAACAAGGCTCATGTGGTCAATTTCAGTAGGTTCAAGGTGTGAAATGGATGTCCACAAGCCTTTGAGGCACCAATTTTAGCTCTTAAAAGCCCAAGTTGCAAAAAGAAAAAAGCCTAATTTGAGGACCACCAATTAGGACCCCAAGAGGATGTACATGGATGTGAGTTTTTGCAGTGCAGCTCCAGTAAAAAATAAAACTTAAAGGTTCTAAGTAACTAGAATGGGAAAGGTAGGCACTGGGTTGGGGGGGGGGTTATGTCTTAACTAAGCCAGTGAACACGTTCTGAATCCATAACTGCTTTTGACAATGGAAGGAAAAGAAATGAATTACACTTGAACTAATAGTGGGCTTTTTTTTTTTTAAGTTATGTATTTTCCCTTTACAGTGTAAATACTATTTATGTTAGAATGGTCTATGGTCAATTTTGACTTCTTATAGAAGTCAAACCCTATGTACTGAATTTAATTCTGATGAGAATTTTATGGAAAATACTTTGGAAAAGAAATTCTTGCATTTTGAATAGCCTTAGGATAGGAGTAACACTGCCAAATCTCGAGTGTTTAACACAGGCACACACCTACTTTGAAATAAATATTTTGGTTGATAGCTCTATTTAGGAAAGACTGATAAATAATTTGTGTACTCTGTGAAATAAGAGAATTTATTTTGCTAGAGCATGATTATTGCAAGTGATTAACATTATTACAAAATGTTTTACTTGCTATTTGATGATGCTGTGCTAATAAAATTATGTACTATGGTTTGCTCCTCTACTGACTTTTTAGTATAAAATGTCCTTGAGATCATTACAATATTTTTCCAGCTGCTATACTGTGCTAAGACAAGTCTTCGTCATTTCAGAAATATGATGCAGTAACATGTACATACCTGTGTATATGAAGTATTTTGGCATCCAGAATATATGAATACAGCAGCGCATTGAATATTAAAGGAGACAGTAATTTATCTAAATATGTTCTGTGTCTGAAGCAATGTCATTCATTTTTTATTTTTCAAAGAAGGAATAGCAGAGCCCTGGAAATCACCTATTCAGTAGTTAGCGGCTGGATATCAGGCTGAGCTGACACGTATTTGATCACAGGCTTTGCTACTATTGAATTTTTAATTAAAGATTTCTGCAATATTTTCACATCCATTGGCACACATACATTTAGGCTTTAAATGAAGTCAATTTATAAAATGATTTTTACATTTTTATCTCTTATAGTAAGAGCAGGCACAAGAAAACAGCAGACTCTTCTCTCAGTGCAATAATGATAGTTAAAGTAACACACTATACTAAATCATAATGTATTTTAGTTCTGGCTTAGCATGTTTTGTAAACCTGGTCACTGCAGTCTATAAACCATGGTTTATGACAACATGTTGGGTGAACCCAGCCTTGAACATCATATTAAACAAATGATGGCTTACCATGGTTGTGAAAGCAGCCAATTTTTTTTTCACTTTCCTCCAAGTTTTAAAAGCAATCTCTTGCTGCCACTATGCACCTTCCTGCACTAGTAACTAATGGCTCAAAGATAATGGGCAGAACAACTATTATTAGTAGATCCAAGGATGTAAAGCAATCCCACTCCGCACTACAGTTTAATCTTTTAGTTTGCAATGTAAAGTTTATGGCAGGCAAGGAGCAAAAGAGCTAGTCATAGCATCTTCAAAATGTATAACCCCTGTCAAAGGTATAACGGCTCCACTCTTTCTAATTAATTAAAATATCAGATCTGGGAAGCCTGTCGTGAGAGTTGTATAATTATAGTTCTTGAAAAATAAGGATGTGTGATTAATCACTTCAAGAAAATCTGGTGGTGGGTGATAACACGTGAATTAGCTGATGATCAAGGCCAAGCGCTGAAGGATCTGCATCGAAGCTCTTTCTTTAAGAAGGGTCAGGCTCTGTCAACCAGAGTGGCAAGATAATTACAAGATAACCAGGCCAAAAATAAGGTAATTTAAATCTGAATGCCTTATATTATGCAAGTACATGGTTTACAATCAGAAACTAAAAGTCAGTTTGCTTAATTGGAATTGGCCCCTTAAGAGGAGGAGGAGGAAAAGTAGTAAGGGGAAAGAATCCGAACTTCAAGAACATATTCACAAACATGTCAGGAGACCAGGCTTAAATCAGGTTTTGTCAGATTATAAACCAGCTTCAACATGCTTCTAAATGCATATCAGACAACATAAATTGAAATGTCCAAAACTTTGCTATATTGAATTTTTATAAAGGCTGCATTACCATTACACTGGGCGCAAATATTGCCACATTTATAAAAGAAAGCATGGAAATAGATTTCCTTATCTCCTGTATAAAATAGGGTTCTCAAAATTCCTCTTCCAACTCTGAAATTTAGAATGGTGATAACCTGGTATTCCAGTCATTTGTGCCAGCTTTCTTTTAAAGCTTTGGGCCATTTTATTTTATTCATCTTATATTTAAAATGTGGTTCCTTAACAATTGCCTGGTTAGCGCTTTGATTGTTTAGTATACATTCTCCCTTTCTCCGTACTTCATGGTAACAAAGTACACAAGCCGCCTGTTTGTGTCTAAGTATTTTGGTGTGCCTGGTTGCTTGTATTTAAACCGTGGTTCATCTGTTCGTTTGAATTCTTAAATGCCCCAATGCTTCTCTCCCAGAATGAATCACAATGGTTTCAAATGGCCCATTTATAGAAATCCCCATTACCGTGTTACCTGGTGCTGTGTTGTACTCATGGTGCATCTCCATGCTGCACCTTGTGCTCCTGGACTGCATTTGCACACTTTTGTGGCATGTCAGTACTCCAGCAGAGCTTCCAGTCGTTCTGTACCCCTGTTTGGGCTCTTCTTTTTCACAAGCATAAAGAGAAGAGTCCTTGTGCTGAATGGGATGTTGGTTGGATTGTGGCTCCCTGTAGAAATTGTTAGCAATGATTTAAGCATATTCAGTCCACTTATATTCCTTACTATTCCATCATTATTCTCCCTATTGGCTATGGGGAGATATGGTAGGAGACAGGGGGCAGGCTGTTTTCAGGAAAGATGGTCTCACTGTTCCTGTGCTGAACCCCAAGGGGTAGTCTCTCAAACCTCCTGTGGCCCCAGTCTCCATCTGCTACATAATGCAAGGTTAGCCTGTAATAATACCTTATCCATGACCCAATTATGGATGAGATATGCAGTATTGAAACCTGGCTGGGCCTGCGGGGGGAGGCATTGGGTTTCTCCTCTCAGAAATGTGCCTTCCTGAGTTTCAAGTGTGGCATTAGCTACGATCCTGGGCCAGGGTGGGGGTGTGGCTGTTGTCATCTGAGAACCTCTGGTGGATTTAGGGACACTGCTTCGGAGATGAGCAGCTCGTCTGCCGTTCTTAAATCCCTTAAGGCAAGAGGTGGCCATTACATATCTGTCGCACTCAAATTATTCAAAGCCAAGCCAGTAGCTCAACTTCCTTATGGTGTTCTAATTTTGCACCATTAGAACTTTTCTACTCAGCATGGGATATGACCAGGCCAAAGCAGTCATTAAACAGCATGTAGCAGACACAGAGTGCCAACTGGAACTAGCCAGGTCCCCAAGTTTTATTGCCAGTGAATCCAACAGATACTCTGCCTCCCCTATGGCATACTTAACTAAACTCGAAGTACCTAAATACCAGAGGGCCTTTACTCTGGTACAATGCCATGCCTCCCTTCAGCTGTCCTTGAAGGCCAATACAGGAAGATCCTTTACCTGGAGAGACAATGCCCCTGTGGCTCTGGCCACACAAAAACAACAGAGCATGTGCTTCTCCAGTGCCTGTATTACAAAGACATTAATACTAGCCTATCTCGCCATTACTGCATAAATACCCAGGGCGCACAGGACAATTTTGCACCTTCCTGCTGCTTTCAGATACCAGCCCTGCTACAACATATAATGTTGCCAGGTTTTGCACAGCAGCGATTAAAATTTGTCGGATGAATGCCTGTGCCATAAACTAAACTGAATGAGCATCTAGTTCCTTGTGTTAGAGTGCTCTGTAATTTGATACAGTCTATCATATACTAACCTTTATGCTCCCCTACACCCATCTAATGCTCATACTGCCCCCTTTTTAGATCCTTTTAGACTCTTGTTTTTTATATATACTTTGTTTTATATCTTTCAGCTTTTCAAAACTTTTTTTTTGTAAACTCCGATGTATCTTTTATGCTTTTTAATTAACTGTACCCCACCCTCCTTGGTGTACAGTTTATGACCATAATAAAGATTTGATTTGATTTGATTTGATTCAGTTGGGACTGTGACTACTGTACCAGCTTTCAAGCCGCACAGTAGCTTCCCTTGTACCCCTCAACCCTGTGACCCAGTTGGTGGAATTTTCCAGGCTATTTTTTTCTGGCAGAACTCAACGTGTCTTCTCCGGGCACAGAATCAGAGGTGGCTTGGGAGTTTATGGCCACCGCGGCAATCTGATCCAGATTATTGGAGATCCTACTCACAGGAAGGATCTAGTTTTAAGATCTAGATCTAGTTTTTGCCTTGGGCAGTGGCAAAATAATCTGGTGTTTGGTGATATTGACATTAGTCCTTTGTCATGGACACATCACTCCCTCTTAGCCTTGGACTGCCCTGTAGCTAATCCCCTCTGT